AGTTAATGAGACAATTAATTAGATTGCAATTAATAAAGACAAAGGAGCAGCTGGGAATTTCCTGTGTGTGACTGGTATGAGGTGGCATTGCAACCTCTTCCAGGCAAATTGAGAAGGGGATGCCCCATCCCTGGAAGTGTCCCAGGCCAGGTTGGATGGAGCTCTGAGCAGCCTGGGACAGTGGGAGGCGTCCCTGCCCATGGCAGGGGCTGGAACTGGATCATCTTTAAGGTCCCTTCCAACCCAAACCATTCCACATTTCTTTCTTTCTATGATAATAGTCCATCAAACATCACTTACAGAAGTTTGGGGTATTTTGCCTTGCTGAAAACCAGAGTTGTGCTTGATAAAGTATTTGGTTCTGTAACCTTTCAGTACTGGTAAGGCAAATCACTCCCTTGTTTGAGAGGCTGAAACTCTGCTCTGGCTCTAAGCAATGGTTTAAATTCTCTGTTCCAGGTCTGCTCCAGAGGGAGCTCTTTGACTCTCTTGTTCTGTTCTTTCTTCTCTGCTTTGCATCACAGCCACCCTTTATGCTTCCGTGTCCTTTCCCAAATTCTGCCTCCTTTAGAGCATCTTCCTTCAATTCACCTGCTGCTGCTCCTTGCAGCCACCTTACACACTTTGCTGCCCTGGAAATTTTCATGTCTTGCAGGCAAAATTGTCTTACTTGATCCTCTACTTGCCTCTATCATCTCTGCTGCTTCAAACCCCTCAGTGTCCAACCCTCATCCCCTCCCACTCACTCTTCAGTGCCTGTGGAACTGAAATATTTGATTATATAATGATGTGATCATACATTTATATATATATTATATATTATAAAGGTATAAAAACATTATAATATTATATAATGTTTTATATAATATAATATATAATATATAATATATAATATAATTTTTATATAATACATATATATTTTCTATATATTTATATAAATATAAATATGTATTACATAAAATAGAAATATATAAAATATATAAATTATTACATAAAATATAAATATATAAAAATATAGATATTACATAAAATATATAATATAAATATATAGTATATATTATACACTGTATTATATATAGTGTATAATTATGTATATTACATAATACAGATATAAAATATAGAATGTAAATGTATAAATATTAATATAATAGACATCTATCTAATTATATAAATATATAAATAAGTATATCTAATTTGATTATATAATGATATATATTATATACATAATATAAGATTATAAGGGTGCTCCACAGTTCAAGGCATCTGGGAGCTGCTTCAGTCAGATGAGGGCAGTGTTACAAAACGGGTTTGGTTCCCAGAGTCGCACTTCCCTGCTCCTCCTCCCTGTGTAACTATTGGTTGGTGTTCTGAAATCATCTAGGCTGCAAGGAAATAAGCTAAAAAAATAAAAAGAGAAAGGAAGAGATTCATTCCAGCTCACCCCAGAGTTTACATCAAGGCCACACTGACACATCTGCAGAGGAGGCAGAAGATGCTGTGGCCAGGGAGGGACCAGCCAAGGACAAGGAGGAGTTCTGAGGCAGAACTTCTCTGCCAGAGGCAACATGTTCCTGCAGCCCAAGATTTGTGTGTCTTGGGCCTTGTGTGTTTTTAGTGTTTTTGTGTGTTTTTAGGCCTGAAATTCGAAATTGGATTGATCTGGCACTTACTGCAAATTAGAATTTCTTCACCTGTACATCACTCTTTTATTTGAATCTCTAGCCCATTCCTCTTGCAATTTGCCACAGGTCCTTGGAGCAGTAATTTCTTTCTTTGAATAGGCAAGTGACAAAGATGACAATTCCTGCCTCGGTGTAGGGGTGGAAGCCAATCTCTAGAACATGATAAATGCAATGTATTTACTGAACTTCCTTGGAGAAGAGAGGGAGTTGGTCAAATCTAACAGAGCAATGTTTGCCAACCCAGAAGTGAAGTCGTGCATATTCAGGATATTTACCTTTTGAAAAAGCTCATTTATGACCAAGAGTTCATTTTCAGTGCAGTACTCTGAGAGGCAGCCATGGAATTGCTATTGGTGGTAATATAAAAATTGCAGCTAATTTCACAGGTAACGTTCTTATTCACCAGGTTAATTCAGGCTGAGGATATTTAATTCTGCCAGTCTAATTCTCAAGTGGCTTATTCTACAGGGAAGGAGCTGAAAAATACTCAGGAGTGCCCTCAGGAGCAGTGGGTAACGAGTACAAACTAGGGAGAATGGTAAAACTCATCTAGCAATTCTGCAATGGACTACAAGACTACATCCACGAGGGTGACAAGCATGATCTGGTGCTCAGGCTGAGGTTACAGGCTGGACATTACCACAAGCCCCTGATCACAGTTTCCACAGACATGAATTTAATTCAGTAATTGAGCAAAATCACTTTCTTCCTCTTTCTCTTTTCCTCTACATCCAGACCCATGTTTCCAAATTCAGTTCCAAACCATGGAAGCAAACACTGCTTGAGTTTTAATTTTTATATTTGAATGTCAAACTTCATCTCAGCATGATTTTTCTTCCACGACAGCAGCTACCAAATGCTGGAATTGAAATACTCAACTTATAAAATGGATAGGATTAATACTAACACAAATAAGAAATGAAATAACAATGTGGTGGTTAATCAGAGGAATTTTTACCTGACAGTTTACTCACAGGCAGAAAGTTGTATCTGTAAATTGCATATAGGCAATCCATTAGCAATATCACCTCCATGAAATATTGATTTGAGATTATTTCTCCATCATTTCCCAGGTGGTGGCCTGTCTCCAAAGGCCACCTTGGCAGTTGCTAGGGAACAACTCCATAGCTCAGGGAGGGCAGCCCTGACCACTGTTCACGTGCACAGTGACATGATTTGGGGTTTTTAAACATTTATTCAGTTTGTGTGCTTTCAAAAGCAAAATTATTGATTGAATTCTGTTTGGTCTGTAGATTGTGTCCAGGATATGTAGATGAAAGGAGAAAAAATGAACAGTGATGCAGAAACTACGGCACCTCCCAGCTTCTATGCACATGAAGAATTACAGAATTTACACTCCTCTTTGGCTTCAACTGCTTTAAGCTGAAGGAGACTACAGTAATTCCCTGGAAGTCCTGGGAGGGAGGTTTTGCTCCTAGTCTTTCCCACCTCTCTCCTTGGGGCTTTCTTGAATTGTGCTCGTTCAGTTCCTGAATACAAAACTCCAGTGATGGAGCAGGGAGGAAAGATTCCTTCCCCCATTTGCAGGCACTGCTCTCATTTATACCTCCAGACTGTGTTTGTTGTATTTTCATAGAACCATGGCATTGCTGCCTGATGCTACTCTTTTGACATCCTGTAGACCTAGAAGTCTTTTCTACAGAATTTGACACTGTTTTGACAGTGAAACTCTGCAAACTTCTCTTGGGGCATGGCTGTCCAAGCAGGTTTTTATTCCTGCTCTGCAGCAGTAGATTTAGCAAGATTAAAATATTTTAATGGATTCCCTACAGAAATGTAGTCAAATCAATGGTTATCAATAATGCAAATATGAAATTGTCAAAATAAAGCAGTGCTGTATCTCTGCCTGTAACCTGAAGTAGGATATTAATCTTAAAAGAAGAAGAAAATATGAAAAGTGTAGCATCCAAAAATTATTTCAAAAGCTTGACTCAGGAAAGGATAGAATATTAAAAGGGGGAATTAGTCCCAAATGTGGGTGTCCCAAACTACTTTTATTGGCTAAGACTCCACTGTACAATGTGCAATTCAGTTTACCCTGGTGTGGAATCTTAGCTCACGTGAAGTCACCTACATGTCAGCAAACTAAATTTAGGCATCTGTGTCTGGAACCATGTCCAACCCCTGCCATTCTGTCTGTCTTGTCACTGTCCCCTCCAAAAAAACCTGCCCCCTAGTCATGAGAGTTGCCATGCAGATCTCACAATTGTTGGGATGAAAGGTGGAATTCTCTTTCCTAAAGACCCAATCCCATTCCCTGAAAATGCCAGACAAACTAAACCAGTACTGAGCCAGAACGAAAACACAAAACCAGAAACAGAAGCACCACAAGCTGATGTATTTTTATTTAGACACGTACCACCCCCATTCTTCTGGCTGAGACCCTTCCCTTTGTTCAGATCTGGGGCAATCCCCAATGGAGATGCAAAGGGCAGCAGTGTGGAGGCACTGGAGGAGGTGGAGAAATGCAAATCCCCCATTAACCCTCTTTTGGGAGGGGGAGGGAAGGGGCTGTGTAGGTTGAAGCAGGAAGCAGGATTTATCACCTCAGCTAAAATTCCATTAACCATTAACTAACGGGGGAATCCAGGCTGTAGAGGCTCTCCAGAGCCACAAAAAGAGGGAAAACAAGGGCCCCAACACAGTTATCCTCCAAAGAGCATGGATATGGCTCCACACAGAGCTGGGCAGAACTGAGAAAATGAATGGCATTTTTTAGCTGTTTTCTTCCTCAAATATTTCTATGTTATTATATATTTATAGTTACTGTTTGCAGCTATTTTTATAGCCTGCCTGCTGTTTAAGATAACATGTTTTACCCATGCTTCAGAGATTATAAACTATGCTATTTGTTCTCCCAGCTCTGACCAGAAGATTGAGCAACACAGAAGGAGAGGAAGAAAAATTTGGAGCAGCTCCAAAAACCCCGATGCCAACAGTCCAAATGTGTGTGATAAAACACAGCAAGATATCGCCAAGGCTTTTTCTTACCCGTTCTCCCACGCATCAATTTAGATTAAAACACAGGGGAAAGCAACACTTATGGATTTCCCATGTTCTGGAGGGAGAGAGCACTGCCTGTAGAGCATTTCTGGATGAGAGGTGCTGACATAAGTCCTGCTTGTTGATGCACAGCGGAGAGATGCAAACACCACAGCACTGCTGTGCACAACACATGGTGTCAGGCCAAGTGTAGCCAAGTTTCTTCAGTCCTTATCTTGCCCATGTTTATTTTTTTGCTAGAAGGCCTAGCATTTCCTTATTTGTATAAAAGATAATCTACCTTTCACACCTTGGTGTCTGGATCCTGTTTATTGTGCATTTCCTCACAAAGCCAGGCAGGTAGCTACTGTCTGCTGCCCATTTAACAGCTGACAGAAGGAAACCAAATAAGAATGAGGTCAAGACTCATAGAACCAAACTCAAATCCAAATTTTTAGTGCCACTGAATCCCCTCCAGGCCCCCATCAGCTGGCCCCTATGCCTCTGTTGCTCTTTGTGGTGTGACCTCGAGCCCTTGGTCATGAGGAAGTGTGGAGGTCCCCTGCCAGTTCCACACATCCCAGCACCTTCTTCCTGGGCCAAACTGAGTTTTGGCAGATAATCTCATCCAGAAGGTCAGTGAGGTGGGAAGTGCTAGCTGGGATGTGAACAGGGACAAAGGCTTCAGCCCACCTGCTGTGTGATTTGTGGCTGTAACCTGAATGTGGATTTTCCCTGTCCCAGGAAACCTGTGGTGGTTACCCCACAGGTGTAAAGAGTGCTCATTCTCTTATCCTTAGGACAGCTTTATCCTCATATCCCATGTTTCTTTCCTTTATATTCCTGCAGAGTCTAGGATATTCCAGCTGTAGCCACCTTCCATCCTGCTTTGCTGTGAAAATGAAGACAAGCAGTGAGGAGAGGAGGAAATTTAGGCTGTACCTAAAACCCCTACACAGGAGCACCTTGGCCCTCACACCAGAGGTGTCTCCAAACCCTAGAGGTGTCTCCAAACACACAGTCCCACGTTTGCCACTGATATTTGTGCAGTCCACTTGCACACGTGACCTCCTAGAAACGACTTCACTTTGTTTGAAATGTGCATCAAATTTGTTCCCTGTAACTTGAACTGCTGAGATCCCCAAAACCCAGCACGTGATGGGCACAGTTGACTGACAACGTGCCTGAGAGGAACAGAGTTGTTGTGCAAATACTAATTATAAGATTATAAAATAAAAGCCCTTTAGTAGCAAAACAGCCCAAAGGAAATGTGACTGTTCAAACTTTTGATTTATTCATATGACGCAGCACGAAAGGGCACCTTCAACTCAGTTTTATGTTTAACTGTTAATATTCTTTATCATGTTATGGTAATTCCTCAGGCAACCAGACAGATATGAAAAACAGTTCCCTTCCTTATGGCTGATGGTGAAATTTTGTTCTCTAACAACAGCCCAGCAGCAAAATTACTGTATTGAATGTGTAAGATAATACACAAAATTATTTTATTATAATGAGGTTTTTGCTTAACTTTGTGCCTAAACTGGGCTGCTAGGTGCTTTGCTTCCTTAATTAAATTAATTTGGACAGAAAACTGATCAGAAAGAAAACCTCTAGAGAGATTATATGCTAAAAAGAAGAAAGATCAGCTTAGGTCCTAAACATATAATAGATAAAGGAAACACAGAGAAAGGGATTTGCTATTCTCCCTGAAACTCAGATTAGATTTTCCTCTGTCCTTCCACAGATGTGTCCTTGCACCAAGCTCTGCAAAGAGCTCTTGTCCAGGCCTTTGGTACTCTATTCCCTTGTCTTCAGATTTATGCTGACTTGAATCCATTAATTGTTGGGTTGTTCTGTGCAGGGCTGGGAGTGGGACTCGATGAACCTTGTGTGTCCCTTCCAGCTCAGAACATTGTGTGATTCTGTGAAAGGCAGGCCACTGAGTACTGCCCATTGCTCATGGGAGGGTCAGTCAGCCCTGGCTGCTCAGGGCTTGTGTCAATGAGTTTTCAGAATCTCCACCCCATAACCTCTCTGGGCCCCATTCTGACCAGACTCATGCTGATATTTCCTTTCTCTGGTACCTACTCAGAGATTCCAATGTTTCAGCCTGTGCCCACTGCCTCTTGTCCTGTTACCCTGCCCTTCTGAGAAGAGCCTGGCCCTGTCCTCTTCAGCCTGCCATGAGCTAGGCCCAGGCAGCAATAAATTCCCTTGTGCTGGGGAATTTAAATTTTCTTCTGCAGTTTGAACAGTCCCAGCTCACCCTGGCTCTTCTTGTATGTCCTGGGCTCCAGCCCATTGCCTGTTTTGGTGGTCCTGTGCTGGACTTCCTCCTCAAAGTCCAGATCTTGTACTGGGAGCCCCAAGCTGGACTCATGGCCTTGCTAGTGCTGAGCCATTTGCCACGGCCCTTCTAAACTGACTGCTTCCACAGTGGGAACATTTATTGCTCTCTGTCCTGCTGTCTTGGTCATTAATAAAGGCTTAAACCTCTCCTGGTGTGAGTATTGATCCCCAGACACGCTGCTGATGACTGGCCACCGTTGGACTTTGGATCACTGACGGTTTACAAACAATGCTCTGAGCCCAGCAGTCCAGCCAGTTTTCCACCCACCCGATCATCCATTTATCCAGCCAATATCTCACTAGTTTGGCAATAAAGGTATTGAAGGAAACACTGTGAAAGGCCTTGCTGGAGTTTAGGAATACAATTCTCTCCCTTTGTACACAGAGCTTGCCTTGCCATCACTGAAAGGGCACAATTACCCCTGGGCACATCCATCTTAGCTCTTCCAAATCCACTTTTTGTTCTTCCTGTGTCCAGAAGTGGCTCCTTAGGAGGATTTGTTGTGTGACATCCCCGGGGACTGAGCTGGGGCTGACCATCCTCTGGCTCCTTGTTCTTCCTGAGGCTGGGTGCTTTATTTGGCTTTTTCATTGGGATTCATTTCACTGTGATGACTTACAGAGTTTACTTACAGAGAGTGGCCTTGCAGTGACAGAGGCCACTTGCCCAGCTCCATAGATGCCTCCCATGGTCCTGTCCATGGCTAATTAGCCCAGTCACTCACTAACTCTCTTCTCTGGCTGTGGTTTTGCTCCCACAGGCTCTGCTGAAAGGCTCAGACACCTGAAGGGCCAGAGAACCCACCTGAGCAGTGATAAACCAGACAAAAAATGGCACCTCAGCCTATTTTTTATTAGGCATGGGGTCCTGAGCCCCAGAGCAGAATCCTCCTAGATTTTCACTGCAAAATGTACTTTAAAGGAAGAGCTCTTGTTCCTCACATCCTTTGCTAGACTCAACTCCAGCTGAGCTTTGTTTTTGCCAAGCACATCCCTGCATGCTCTGCAATGCCTTGGGACACCAAGCAGCCTGTCCCTGCTTTCTCCTTCTGTGTATTCCTTTGTTTTTTTTGGTATCTTTCTGAATTAAGATCACCATACAAAGGATTGGAGCTTTAAGCTATTTTACACAAGCACCCCACTGCAAAATCACACAGTCATTAGACCCTTTTCATCCCAAGCTCCAGCAGAAATAATGTTTTCTGATTTTTTTTCCCCCCATTCCATTTCTGGTTACCTCCCATCTTAATTTAATTCTATTATTTTTAGTTCACGTCTTCATTTTCTGTAAGTCTCCTAATATCACCTCTCCCCTCAATGTTTTGCTCCAATTTTGCTCCTTATATAATTGCATTTCTTTTGACTGGTTACCCCTGGGGTTCATTTCATCTGGTTTCAAGCAACATGAATTCACTACATTTAACTACATACATCAGTATTAATAAATATAAAGTTTTAAAAGCTCGTGGTGCTATCCAGTCTGATAAGTCTTTATCAACTGTTTTCTTACTATATAATTATTATTCTTCAGTGTAATTATTTCTGTAATCTTTGCATTTTGGCCTCATAATTTCAGAGTTTCTGAACATGTTACTGAATGCAGGTTTTGGGGGAAGCAGGAAGATAAAGTCCTATTTCCTCCTCCCAAAATCATATTTCAGTGTTCCCTCACACACACCCATAAAATAAAGCAAAATCTCTCCTTCCACTATGGCCCACAGTTATTATTCAGATGCTTGTGATTCATTCAGTTTACTCATGCAACAGCATGCACATGCATTTGAAATGTAAATTTATTAATCTTATAAAAAATATTGCTTGATAATTTAAGGACTTATGGCCAAACAAAGGATCTATAATAATAGGAGTGGTAATAGGCACTGTACTTTATGCATACAGCTTCATTTTCAAAGAACCATAAATAGTGTAACAACAAAAGAAAAACTGAATAATGAATGAGAAAGTTCACACCTCTTGCTGTAATTTTGATCATTAATTTTTATTTGCTATCAGGAATTAGGTGGAGGCAAACCCACATACTTTCATCCTTTCAATTTTCTTTCTGGTATTAATTATATTATGTATATTTATGCAGAAAAGCTCTTTCACTAAATAGTATTGAGCTATTAGAATTACAAAAGCTTTGACAATAAACCCACATACTTTTTTTCCTTCAGAAATCTGGATCTATGTGTCTACTTCAGTATCTATCTAGGATTCAAACATGCAAGTATTTTGTCCTCTCTGCAGCCCTTTTTCATATCAGTAAAACAACTGACTTAACTCTTTTCTAAATAGCTTTCCAGTTTCAGTTTTTAAAACCTTTTGCACCTTAGGTTAATCTTAGTACTGCTAAGTCAAACAAACAAGAAGCAAATTTTAGTGAGAAAAAATGGAGAAAATTCCACAGAGTTTATTTTGATATTTAGGAATGAACTAAATTATATTAAAAAGTTTATATTTCCCAATTATACTATTGGGTTTTTAATTAAATTTGACTTTCTGAGATCCGTTTTCTGAGAGCTGAATCAATCTTAAGGATTTTGATCAGAAACCAAAGTGAAGAAGGGAAAAGTTGAAGTTTGAAGATGAAGTTGATGTTCATAACTTTGTAAATTAGGTTCTACCTTCTAGCACTTAAGACATTTTTCTGAGAGTTCTTAAATCTTAAATCTGAATTTTTTTTGTTATGGCTTTAATTAAACTGTGTCTGCCCCAGCTCATTAGTCACAGAACCATCAAGGCTGGGAGATCCCAGGGGGATTTTTCCAGTCCCACTGCCAGCCCAGAGAGTTCTGGAAAATTTGAGGAGTGGGGCCACAAGAACCTCATGAGGTTCAACAAGGCCAGATGGTGCACCTGGGATGGGGAATTTGGGAATCATGGAATCACAGGATCATCGAGGTTGGAAGGCACTTTCAAGACCATCCAGTCCCACCATCAACCCCATCATCACCCCTAGAACACGTGCCAAAGCGCCACATCCAGAGCCTCATGAGCACTTCAGCAGTGATTCACTGCATCTTTCACAGGGATTCTGTTCTGAGCACCTTGGATTTTTGCTTATGTTCAACACCTGAAAGGCAATGCCCACCAGTCTGTAGCACAGCACTTATCCCAGACTCCACATAACCTGTGCCAGTAAAATCCCAGCACGCAGAGAAGGTCCCTCAGTTCCCGTCAGAGGAATGTCTGGGACCTTATCTGCGCCGTGAAGAAATCCCCGAGGCTGAAAGCAGAGGTGTCTGCCCTCTCACTGCATTCCCAGGCAGCCCAGAAGGGCTGTCCCCATGTCCCCACGAGCCCCTCGGGGGCAGCAGCCCCAGCAAAGGACCCGTGTTTGTCCTCAGAAATTTCAGCTCTCAAAGCCAACAGCCTGGGCCACGTTGCAGGAATTAACTGTACTCCAGCTGTGTTGCAATCAAGGGCAAAAATGTGCCTTTGCAATCCTAAACTTGTGCTTTTAGGCAAGATGTTCCACCAGATTACCTGCAGGAGGAAAGGGTCAGTTATAAACTATGCATGCTTGTCCTCACTGAGCTATGTAAGGTCAGCCTTTGCTGATAAGGATGAAGATACTCTGTATTCCTGTAAAAATGGGGTACCTTATGAAGAAATAAATTGGATTTTGAAAGGTCTGGCTGCTGCCATTTGTTTTTCAGTGCGTTCATTGCTGTTATTTCAGCATGACCTATGAGAAGCTTAGTGCTCACTGCAGTTATACAGCTGATGATAGGAATAATCACCAATATTTAATGTTAAAATGTTGTTATATAATGACAAAAATGGGCTTGGCAGAAGTCCACAACAAAATGCAAGTGAAGAGGTCTCTGAAGCCTTTTCTGCAGTGCACACCACACTCAGAGAGAAGGTTTTCCCTTTCTCTTCTGTTGATAGGTGGGGTTTTATTATGGAATTACATTTTTAGAGGAACCAGAATAGAGCAATGGTCTCGTAAAATTAAGATCAGGAAAACATGTCAGGAAGAGAAAGAGGTGGGTCAAAAGAGGAGGAAGCTGGACAATTCTCTGCTGGTTTTGTTGGAAAAGCAAAAGGTGGCTGTGGGTGACACAGACAGGCACACACAGAAATGAGGGAGGTGTTCAGGTAGTAGCTCATGTCCACATCCAGGCAACTCCTGCCAGCACCTCTCAACCTCTGCTAACATGACCAAAACAGCTCCTTTCTAAGGGATGAATGACACAAAAAACCCCAAAGAACCAAAGGGATGCAGGCACCAGTGGCACCACGTTGTCCTGGCATCTCTCACCCCCAACAAAATTGTCAGAAGAAAACCCATACAAGAGGGTGTCCTGCAGCCTTATGTTCAGCAGAATATGCCAAAAAGAGCCCACATTGGCTTTAGACACACTAACCCAGATAAAAAAACCAAAAAAACAAAAAGCAAACAAAAATCCCAAGCCAAAAAACCTATCACAGGACACAAAATAACAGCTTTTCTGTCTGTTTCACACGTAGCTCTACTCAAACAAGTCTTTCAAGTCGTCTGGAGGCAGCCTGTTTTATGCAATAACCCATTAAATGTTTCTCATCTTGTTTTTGTCTTAGTTGCTGCACTGCCAGTATGAAAAGCCTGTTGCAGCTGCCTGCCCCTTTGATGCTGGTAGAGCCAGGAGCAGATCTGCCCATCAGTCAGTCTCTAGGAAATGTGGAAGATTTTTTGTAGTCAACTCTTTATGTCTCCCATCCCTCAAACCATCCTGCTGGAGCCTGTTCCCTAATTTCACTCTTGTGTATCGTTTTGAGGTCCTGATTTCACTGTTGTGTGTTTCTTTGAGGTCAAATGGTCTGGGACAAAACAAAACAGAGAGCACAATTGATGCAGAAAGTGTCAAGAGTGATCAGGGCTCTTCCCTGGAAAAAAAAAATAAATTAATTTTTCCTTCCATGATCCTGAAAGCTGTAATTTTTTTGCAGTGGTATCCTCCATGGAGTCTGTCACTGCAGCTGTGAAAGGCAGCACAAAGTGAGAGGGACCATCCATGAATATCCATGGGGAAAAAGAGGAATTCACCTGCCTCTTTATCCTGAGGAACTGGGCTTTAAACCAGACAACTCCTTGAAAAATAAACAGGTTGTGCTTGAGTGTTCCCTTCAGGAGATCTCAGATGTAGCTGTGGGTCTCTACACACGGAACAGCACCT